GTGTGTGTGTGTGTGCTATGAATGTATATACTACTAATAAATTGTGAGTGATTCAAATATTTGTTAAAATAATTACGCACCTAATGGCACAATTCATGGCCTACTCTGATTTAACGATTGTTTCTCCAAAGTAGTGTTAATATTCAATAAATATATACTAAATTTTTGCGTTTCATCGAATTGTTACGCGTTTACTGTTGTTCTCATCTATGTAATCAGATTAAAAAAAAAGTTTACGCGATAAGGAAGATAATTAATTATAAACACTATTTTAGAAGCACAAACAACAGTGATTTTCGCTCTCATTTGCATTTACTGTATATTGGAAAACGCAATGATAGCGCCCTCAAATAGTACTAGTGTAGTGCTCTCAACGGTGGTTATTAAAAAAATCTGAATGGCCGGTCATGGCGTCTGACGATCTGCGTAAGGGCAGAGGGTGGGAAGGAAGGGGGTATGGAAGTTCATTCAGAGCCTTTTGATAGTGACCCATACTTTCAATTAATAAATTATGATGCGACAATGTTACAACCCTGCTTAACATTTTCCGCACATAGTACGAATATAATCATGTCGTTTTTAATAATGCTGATGTATTTATGTATACAAATTCAACCGCACTTATATATATATATCCAAATAAAACACTATAACCATTGCTGGATACATCCTGTGTGTTGTTAGACTGGCCAGTTGTGCTGATTTCTTCAGTTAAATTATAATAATAAAAAATTTGGGAAATAAAATAGTTTTGTGAAATTTTGGACGATTTCGCGGTTTCAGGGGATTTCGCGTTAACAACTTCATTTCGCGATATTTTAATTTAATTTGAATCTCAAGAAAAATAACTTGCCCATACTGTGCAAGTATAGCGTATTGTATAAAATAGATGACAACAAAAGAAATTAAATTTACGCCCCAAGAGGAATATCTACTTGTCTATAAATTAAAGTGGACACCCACGCAGATTGTTCTTTTGCTTGCATCCATCTTGTTGTACACATGGATGTATATAGTGCCATAGGATGTAACAGTTTTTTTCGTAGCAATTATGCGTCCCGAGTTTTTATGCAAAGTTTATTTGGTACATATTTTAGTTCAATGAAGTTCACATCGCTGTTATGTTTGTAAGCAAATATTACTCGTTACGATTGACTAAATATCGTAATTCGTCTGCTTATGATGTCGGAAAATTGCTTCCAAATATAAATAAATTGTATTTACACTATCATTGTATGTGACTTTTATTACAGGCAAACATCAACACTCTGTACTCCAATACACCATTATCGGGTTTGAAAATTTCCATAAAAAATTATCATCTATTAAGTATAGACAGTAAAATTCTTTCTGAGATATGTGTCTTGCATTACGATCACAAAAATAATTAGTGTTAATACATTATTTATGAGGAAGTAAATCCTAAATATACTCACATCGGGCGCTGAGCAGGCCAATCATGAGCGGTCGTTAGAGCTGGGAGCCCTCTGTGGTGAAAATGTAACTGCGAGTCTTCTCGCTTGGAAACGTTAAACAGTAAAATTGTAACCGACGTTAGTTAGTAGCTTAATTAAATAAAAACGCCGACGAATCAACAAAATATTACATTCATTTTACCGAAATATATTTACACACGTAGTACTGCTGATTACAAATCACGTTTAATACCAGCATTTCTATTGTTCTGACAAACGTTATTCACGTTTAGAAGTGGGTCCAAACGTGAATAACACATAGTATTTGGGTATTTGGAGTTCAACAAGATAAATTAGAAAAACTATTTATTTTTCAGAATTGCGCCAAAAATGTATTGCAGTAGCTCGCTCGTGAACTCGGTTTATTGACGACCCCTCCAAATGCATTAAATCATATTCAGGCGTGCAACACTATATGAAGTTTTGTTTTCTTTAATTATGTCAATCGCGACAATATTACTTATATCAATTTGCTGCTAAAAGTAACTACTCGAATAAACCTCGAAGCGCCAAAATACTGGCGCAATAATGCTCAGCCGCTCGATAATCGCTATATGTTTTGTCACACGCAACGTAATATTACCGTAATTGGTATAGTACAGGTGTGATGGTTCAAATACCAAAATGGCAACAGTAACAGAAAGACTTCCCTGGCGGCGATGATAAAATACGAACACGGAGCCAACAGATGAAGTTTCAACTGGTACTGGTATTATTATACTCTGCAAACATCAAGTACAATAACGCGGTAAAACTCCACTACTCCAATAACTAGATACTTAAACTCCAATACAATTCAACGAGATCTCCGATCTGATCTCAGTGCTGAACAACTCCCCTATATATACCCACACTGTCTATAAATAGACTATTACATCAGCATACATAATGAGTCTGGAATTTACTACAAATTTCTAGAATGTCCCATTACCTTCTATTGCCTTCTACAGTGTTCTATTACCTATTCAACCAGCTTCTAAACATTCCACCTAGACACAGTATGGTTCTAGAACATTCTCAGTCACACGGAAGTGGTAAACAAGTCGTATGCGACATGCTTGTTCTGTTGGATTTCACCGCCGTTGCACGTTCAACGTTTTAGGTGCTGCATCATATTAGCGATTTTGATGTCTAGGAATTACAGTTAAAATGTAGGTTGAATAATATAATTGTTAAAAAATACCCCCTAAGTGGATATACGTCGTGAATTGTGCAAAACGACCTGATATATCACCTGTGGTGTTGGTTTATTTTATTACCTCAGTATCGGACTATATACTAGACAGTGCATCCTAATTTCAGCACCTTTATCTTAATTAGCGCTCACGTAGGTCCGATGTGAATGTGCAATATTTAAATGAGATATTTATATAGGATCTACTTAAATAGGATAATCGTCGTGCCACGCATGAGAACAATTTTGGTTAAGAGTGAGTTTCCGCCTTCCAATATCTGTCAATGCCAGGCTCCAATGCTAGTTTTGATCTGTTCGCGTTGTACTCTATAAACTATGACTCTTTAGAGTCGGGCTTTAATGTTGATTTGCGCAACGATCAGAGTCGCCGTCTTTTTTTTATCTCGCATATGCGCGGCGTCAACCACCTTTTAGATGGCGAATTATGTTCAGCATAATTGCAGTATAATATTACATAAACTAAACTGACCGGTCGAGTTATAGTGAATATATTTACAAAACTATTCATTTCTCATTCATTTTTCGCTGGGTAACCATGTGTGGCCAGAGGCGGCGGCAGCTTTTTTTGACTGTGGGGGCGAAGATTTTATGTGAATATCAAAAAAATCTTGGACCGAAGGCGCGACATTTGTTGGGGGTCCGCGGGCATGTTGCCCCGACGCCCCCACGACCTATTTTTACTGAGACGAACCTGCGTCAGCGACACTACAATCAGTTGCTAATATAGCGTAACTGCATCAACGACACATATGACTAATAGTGTCGGTTTTTGTCAATTGTTTTATTTAGGGGTTTTGTATTGGAATGCCGGGAGAAAAACTAATGTATCGCTTTTGGGTTCATTCAAACGTTACAGAAACATCGCTAATGTATCTAATGTGTTAAATTATCGTTTCTTTAGCTTCGAACGTACTGTACGGCTTTCCTTAATTTTGTCCCCATAAACTGTGTATAATGAACTACAAAGACATTTGGGACATAATAAAGGTGTGTTATTTTTCATTACCGTTTTACACATCAAATCATAGGTTCATGAAAAGTTATAGATGGATCCCAGCTGTGCACTATTCTAAATCAGAAATGTAATTTTAATTTATTTATTTCAAATTAGTTATTTTCAGAATATATCTCGGAGTCTACTAATTCGGGACAAATGTATGAAAGCATAAGGTAAAACTCCTGTCTGACCACATGGATGTCCATATGAACTGTGATGTTATAGAAGGAAGAGATCACCATATCCCAAACATCCAGGAAATGCACCCCGATTCCCCCGAATACACGGCGAATGATTCTGTTCATGTCATAAAAAGACCAATTGCTGCTGTGAATCGTCTGCTCCATATAAACATTGTCACGGGAATGACTCATTTTTACAATTATTTTAGGATTTCTACATCGTTTCATAAGTCTTTCAACAGAAAGTTTTACCTGAACTAGTCGTTCTACAAACGACCTGGTCGACCAAGCTCCGTAATGAAAGCAGAAGTTCAAAATTACTACATAATTATGTGACTGACACTCACTTTGAGTTATATTGTCTATGATGTCACTCTCAAACATTGGTTCCCATATAGTAACAATTGGACCTGCAATTCTTGGCGTCATGAAGTGAAAGTCAAAATGACCTTGGAATTCGCTGAAAACGCCAATGAATTCTCGTAATGCAGAATCTCCACTAGCCACAAATTTCTTGTTAGCCGCACATTTGTCAAATTGTTCTTGTGTCCACTGTTGACTTCGACATACCATAGAAATATATGTCCGATTGTTGGCCCAGTATCCATCTGACAGTGGTATTGGCAAATCTGGTCCACATATTGGTAATTTAGAAAGATATATTGGCGAATCTGTAAAATTTAGAAGAGAAAAAAACTCAATTAGTACCGGTGGTAGTGTATATACTATATCAGATGAGGTTATCTGTAAACTGAACAATTAAGGCATGGAGGTATTATCCCAGAAACATATAAATCAAGTGTGTTCTGTCACACACGAATTTTGCATCAACACATGCTGTCTATGCTATCTTAGAATATACAATTTAGCACAATATTAAACTGGCGATTGACTGTTTGCTTTTATATCTTTTGAATGACGTGATTTAGCATGTGGTCATCATTAAACAGATATGTTAGATTGAATTTATCTTGTTATATAGAGTTAGATTGTCCATGCTTTGCTAATAAATACATTGCAGTTTTTTTTTGGGATGTGTAATATTTACATTTCATTGCAGAGTTGTCGTATGTTGTGTCACCAAAGACATAATGTGGTAATGTGGTATAACAACACAGACAATGACTTAAACTATATATTTTTATTTTTCTGATTTCTTTAGTATCAAATAAACCAGAATGTTTCGTACATTTTTACTGTTTGTGACAAGTGAAACATTGCGTAAAATCTTTGTTTACTGACCTGACCTAACCTATCCACCTTGAAAAAATACATCAAACACAATTATCGCGCATACAGCGTTATTCGAGTCATACTTTGAACATTTAATTTCATCTTAAATGGCATAAACTGTCGAATGATTTATTTCATTCCGTCTTAGAAAAGAAAAATACATTTCCGTGACTATGCTGTATAGTGTACTTGTTGGTTGTAGTGTTCTTTGTAACTGTTATGTCAATTATTGTCAGTGATTTATTTAGTTTTCTTGGACTTTATTTTTGCAAACTTATCTACGGTTTGTTATGTTACCCAGAATTTGATATTAAGCTGGCTCCCTCGCCATATAATTGGATATCATGGGATCTTATTGTGTGAACCTTTACACACATATTACAGAAATTACCATGTATTGTTAGATTCATTGGCATGCCTTCCAGTAGTACTCGATCAGTTTTTCTGCAACATGAAAATTATTAAATTAATAATTAGCATTGGTAGATGATTCATCATTGATATTGAACAATATTTGAATTACGGTCAAGTAGTAAATTTTTCAGCAAAACAACAGAAGTATCACTCAAATTTACATACAAAATAGGTTGAATAAAAAAGAAAGTCGGAAGGGATTCCACAATAATATCATTTCATTATCCTCGACAATTGTTACTTTATAATTTATTGTGCACAACATAGCATTGTATAGATATTTGTCAGTTGTCCATTGTAATTATTTGTTTGCAAACCGTTTGGTTTCATCCAATAACAGCTAATAACTATTCCTGGAATTGTTTTTAGACAAAGCAAATAATTCTATAATTATACAGGTCAACCAGTAATGTAACAAATGTAGAATAGGAAATGTCGTTTACTGTTGTTATTGCTTTCAATCCAGCTTTGAATTTTAGTCAATATAGAGTAAAACAGTCAATTGAATTGCATTGCATGTCAGCATAGGTATTTAATTGACGCCCATGTGGTGAAACAAATAAAACAATTACTAAATTTAGTATTAGTATGGGATGATCTTTCCCAATATGGGTTCTGGTTATAACATGTTACCCTTTTCAATTATAAATCTGTATTTATCACCTGTCAAATAAGGTTTTGGTACGTGCAATCTCTTCTTCGGCAAGTAAATCCAGCCTTTTTCCAGATATTTTTGTTGAGTACAGTTTTGAACAGTCGACATGCACTGGTTTATGACACACAAGTACGGTTTTCCCCATGGCGTTTCGATTTGTGTATTCGCACATGCCGCTCCATATGCCTTCATTGATCAAATGACAAGTCGTTGTCTCAGTGATGTTTCCATCTATGTAAGTTCCTGTAAATTCCATTAGTTGTTCTTTTGTTTTCAACGCATCTTTCAAATAGTTGATGAACTCTCTCACAAAAGTAAGCGCTATTGTAATTCTGGCTGTTCCAGACCAAGCCGCGTAGAAATATACTGAGTACGTACCATTCCCATGATCTAAAATTCGGCCTGCTGTACTCTTCTGTAGAATGTCATTGGACATACGAGCAGAGAAGAAATCTCCTCCCCTATTCCGTGGACGGCCATTGTCGTCAAATGTTACAATGGAGATGCAGATATAACTCCCTTTGTAAATGATTTTCTTTGAACATAGCGTAGCTCTACAAGAAAAACAAAATTTACAATTTGATAACAGTGCAGTTTTATTGTGACGAAATTGCACTCGCATATACAACCCCTTTGCTAAAAAGTTTGGTGATGCTGGCAATACCGATAAAATCACAATTTAGAGCAAGCAGTTTGTAAGAATGATTAACAATCTCTATTTTAGCTGTGCATACTTGGAAACTGGACAGAACACATTGTGCGGGCATGAAATTGACAAGTTTCGTGCAATATTCACCAAAACCTGATACCAAGGTGGAGATACTGCGTGTTTAATGTAATTAGATTTATGCAGCCTGACACTTTTGATTTTGTCGTGGCAAGTCGTGCCATTTTGGGGCACGAACTGGGAGGCTCCCGCACTATTTACGACTTGTTCACGCATAGTTAACGACAGGTTCACGACGAGTTCACGAATAGTTCACGAATGCGTGCCCGTCAGTGTCCACATTGACACGAACTGGCACGACGAGTTTGCGCATAGTTTACGCACTTCCGCATTGGCACGACGAGTTTGCGCAATTCCGACGGTGTCATGCCGACTTGGGCACGCCATATAAAAAAAGGGGCCTCCCCAACCCCTGGTCATTTTTGGATTGGCTGTGGAAGAGACAACATGCTGAATGTCAGAGACACAATCATTGCAGGGAAGAGAAGATGCCTATAGAAGCTGCTCTAGCCATTGTTGAAAAACAGTAGAAAAGGCTGGAAGAGGCAGAAGAGCAAGAAAAAGCAACCCCACAAAAACACAAAGGAAAGTGTGGGTCAGGGAATGGTTGACCAGAAGGCACGAGTTTGGACAGTATGACGGTTTACTGACTGAAATCCACAGGGAAGATAAAAGGGCTACACCGACTCGAGCGCCACTGTCGCGCAGTAGTCGTGACCTGCTCGTGAACTCGTCGTAAACTGCTCGTGAACTTGTCGTTAACTGCTTGTGTCATGCGCAAACTGTTTGTGAAGTGCGTAAACTAATCGTGAACTGCTCGTGTCATCAATGCGTGTAGTACACGTGACCGTGTCAGTGGGAAGGCACGGCCACACTGCGACGCGCACCAATTCGTGAACATGTCTTGAACTACTCGCGAACTCGACGTGAGCTGTTCGTGAACTATTCGTGACAGTCGTGGCATGGCGCGCACTGCCACACACTGGCACGCATCCTCCTGCATCGCCCCGACGAGTTCACGAACAGTTTGCGCATAGTTCACGACCCGGTCGCTAAATTTTGTCGTAACCAAAATTTTGAACATTTCAAAATTCTCGTCACGACTAGTTTGCGCACTGTCACGACTTGAGTCGTGGAATGCGTGACACAAAATCGTGCAAGTGTCAGACTGGCTTTACAGTAATGTAATAAGTGTGTGGCATATTTTATTGATTGACAAATGTACAGTTACAAATTTGCTTATATCTGGGCTTTCAGTCGTCATTTTAAAATTCGTTCTTTTCGGTACCTTAAGCGAAGTCGATACTTAAATATTTCTTCGTTTAACAGTATTATGATTAATTCATCGTTGTTTTGTTGTTGAATAGTTCATTTAAATACTTTTAGCATAAAGCAGCTACAAGTCATCAAACCTTTAATAAATTGCTGTTTAGACGAGCCCAGCTTTTTCCAAGTACGTCGTAATATTATTTTCGTTAGAATAGCTGAAAAATAAACATTCTTATTTTTCTAAGGTAGTGTGCTATAGCGTGCTTTGAGTTTCTAGTATGGCTTATGGTTGTAAACAACTTAATTTATGCCAATTCCCGACAATAACATCACTGAAGTACGTGGTGTTTTGTGTCACATTCATTCAGAATGTTTATTCAAAATGTCTATATTGAATTGAGAAGAAAACAATTGTATTATGTCAGACAATATTACACTATTCAAGAATTTAAATATTAGGATACCTTGTTTTGAAAACTGACGTTTGTCCCAAGGTTCCAATTTCAATGGCGAATGGTACTTCATAATTCCTAGTGTCAACCTTGTTATGACTGTTTATCCATTCCAGTTCGTCAACAATGTTCACCCACTCCATTCCAAATCGATTGTAATCAATGTAGGGGAACAATGTATTGAAGCTTCGGTTATGGTCTTGGTCCATAGATGATATAATATTCGTCTTATCGGTGATTGGCATTTTAACAACAGGAGTATGGGATACATTCCTGTTAATAATGTTGGTGTGCACAACAACCTGGCGAGTAAAACCAGCTATGGAGTCCTATTTAACATAAGGCCAGAAACATAATTGTGATAAACTTTTAAGAATCTCACGAGACTACAATTTCTACACAAAATATTTTTTTCTACAAACCATCTTATTTTTTTAAAATTGTCATCAGATGTAATTAGCAACAATATTATATTATGACATTTACCTGTGCTGTCATATACACTGCAATGAAAACAACATTATATCATGACATTTACCTGTGCTGTCATATATACTGCAATGAAAACAACATTATATCATGACATTTACCTGTGCTGTCATATATACTGCAATGAAAACAACATTATATCATGACATTTACCTGTGCTTTCATATATACTGCAATGAAAGCGCCCACAATCAACAGCAAACATAGCAGTTGTAATACTGAGCGGTGGCGTATGGTCATCATTGTAATATTCTAGGACACAAAGAGACAGCGTGTTAATATACTTAGAGATGATATCATCAACAGTCCATCTATCCTCTATCCTATATCTAGGATAGAGGCACTACGATATCACCAACAATGGTTGTTTGACTCGAAAGAAAGAAAATACCCGAATAATGGCAGCTTAGGATAATGAACGTAATGGATTATGAGTATTGAAAAAAAAAACTTTACAATTGCTTAATAACAACAATAACTAGTATCTTGTTCTAACGTGATGCCTATTTTCATTTTAATTGATATTTTATAGGTCTGTTTAAAGGTGGAATTTAACTCTCGTTCCAAGGAAGGATATACTTCCATTATTTGAGTATTTGATTGTTTCAATGTAATTTAATTTAAGATATTGATATATTAGAATGCACAAATAACTTTGTGTTAATATGTTCTGTCATATTATACCAACGTTTTTAATTTAGTTCTCTTATGTAATCCACACTGAGATTAAATAAACATACTATTATATAAGTGTGTGTACTGTATGTGTACCAATGCAATGAGGTCAAATTATTATTACTATGAACAAACCAAGTTTTCGATGGTATGTAGGTATGTAATTCTGTTGAAGTTTAGGTGTTGACTTTTCCGGTCGCGGACGGCGTGAAGATCACAAAATCGCAGACCACCAAGTGTAATTACATGTAAATGAAATGGGATTCAGTAATGCGATAGTTTCTAAAGTTACATTTAGTATTGATTGTCGTTTTAAAAATACTTGTTATGTAGAGCAACTGTTAAAATTGTTGTTGTTCATCATTTTGACGACTTGACATGTAAACAATACGTTTAAGTGACAAAACTTGAGGCATGTGCATATTGGAATTTGTAGTCACGTAGACACTCGGTGCGCTCCAAAGAACAGTGCATATAAAATATAACTTACCAGGGGCGGATACAGGACCCTTTTTATTGGGGGGGGGGCAAACTTTAAAATCGCCAGCCTAAGTTAATGATTGTTTTATATTATACAAAAACAAATTGAAGAAATTTTTCAACGGCGGGGGGGGGGGGGGGGACAGAACCTCTTATCTAGATCCGCCACTGCTTAGCCCGCAACATATGTGCAAGGAACGACCTCC